AGTAATAAGTTGGCTTAATCCAAAGCAGTGCATCTGTATGCAATTTATGCATCTTCACTACTATTATTAGCTTCGTTGCAGCTGCTAATACTCTAAGAAAGAGTGATCTGCAACTGCAATCAGCATGCCAAACGCAATTTTTGTGTTTCCTTTTACTTTCTTATTTTCTGTAAAGAGCTCTTACAAAGTTTTAAAAAACTAATCACAACTTCTCGAGATCTGAGGCAAATTTAAAATTCATGTCAGCCTCCAGTTTCAGCTCTTTAACAATGTGAAAAATCCAAAAGCTCTACCGTCCCTCTCTATCCATCCAAGGACAGACGGACCGGTGTCCCCTTTGGTCAATAATCTAATGTTCCATACTTGTATATAAATAAAAAAATTTAAAAACTACAACTTTGATGATAACAACACAAGATTTGACGTGAAATCATATCCATGACAGTATCCAAAGCAAGATATCATATGCATTTGTTGGCAACAAAATGATACCAAGAACTCTATAGTTCACATTCATTTGCGTATGTCAAATTCTGATACAAGAAAAAAGAAACCATATCTGAGATAGAAAAGAAAGAGAGCAATACCCAAAGGGACACAATAGCATCAAGAAGCCAACCCAATTGCCCAGTCATAGAGAGGTAAGTCAATAGAATTGCCAAAGCAAGATTCCCCAGAACTCTTGCAGTTTCGCTGTTAACCTTCCCGCCACCGCCGCCGCCTCCGCCTCCTCCCCCAATACTATTAAAGCCTTTATTGAATCTCGCCACAAAAACCCTTCCCGTCTTCGATAAAATCCCATTTTTACCCCGGCTCACTCCGAAGAACGACACTCTCTCCCTCAAAGCTCCTATCTTTAACCCGTCTTTGCGCAAAGATTCAATCTTTGTTCTCGAAAGAGAATAGTAATTTATGGGTTGCGAAAATTTTAACTTAAATATTCTGGGTTTCGTGTTAAAATCATTGTGGAGAGGATTTAAGGCTGAGAAATTGATGGAAAACTGTACAAATGATTGCATGACAGTGTCTTATTGTAGTTGAAGAAGTAGAAATTCTTCAATTGGAGATGGAGGATTCCATTTGATGGCTTTTAAAAGATAAAATGAAAATTATGAAATAGACTTTTCTCTTGCTCTATTTCTTCTACACAACTCTTAGAATTTTTATTTTTTTTATTTTTTGTAAATCACTAGTCATAATCAACCTTATTTTTAGAGTTTTTTTAAAAATCACTAATCCCTAACATTTTGGGATTGGTTCAGTAATAAAAAAGAAAGAAGTAAAATAAGCTGTGACCAACTATGCAATTCAAGAAGAAAGAAAAATCTTACACCCCCACTCCACCCCTTTACAGAGCTTGAGAAAAACCCTTGATATTTATGCACGAGGAGGGGGTTTTCTCCCGATTCTCGCCACCACTTGACGGAAAAAACCAAACCACCCCTTCATATACTTTTAGAGAGGTATCGGATAAGGCAATTGAGTTGATATGGAATGTGGTGACGACAAAGATGATCAAGATGAATGTTTTTTTCTAAATTAGACACATTTAATGTCCTCTCAAGTCAAGAATTGGGGTCTCACAATCGCTAGCTAATAGTTTTTTTTTTTAATTAATTGTTTTACCTTTTTATTTTTTTTCTTGAATTATTATCTTTTTGAGACTCAATTGCACTTTTAGAAAAAGTTTATGACTCTCACTAGAATTTTCTATTTATTTTGTTTTTTTTTTTTCCTTTTTATTTATTTAAATAGGAGGGCAACCCGACTTTTTTACACAATTTAGCGGTCAAAATAGAAGGAAAAGACAAATTATGCCAATTTTCAAAAGGTTGGGGATGAATAGTGGCAAGAAAATGATAAGAGCATGTATGTTACTTTCTTCAAGGGTTGAGGACGACATGTGCCAATTTCCCTTGAAAAAGTACATTAAATAAATCATATAATATAGCCAAAAACAAACAATGGTGCATAATTTCAATACAATCTAAGATTTATTTCGACTCTTCAAAATGTTTCATATTTTCATAATCTACCGTAATTGTTTTGTAAATCTTTCGAAATTTTTCAGCCATACATCTCACCATACATCATTTTGAAATTGTGATAGAGCTCATCTACAATCAGATTCTATCATTGAGATACCAAGGCTCTCATTTCAACCCTTTTAGTGTGGCTATGCAATCCCCAGTAAAAAGCGAGACACTACCACAAGATGATTTTGACCCTCTTTTATTTCTGCGTCAACGTTCAACTTTAATTTATAATATGTCAAAGTTTGACCATAAATATAGGGTTGGGCAAAATGTCCGAACCGAACCGGAACCGAATCGAACCAAACTGAATCGAGCGAGTTTTTTTAAATGAAATACCCGAACGGATATCCGAATCGAGAACTGAATGGTTCGGTTCGGTTCTCGGTTCTAGACCCAGAACCGAAGAATCGAATAAGAACCGAATTTTTTTTTTTATATTGGATAAATCAATTTCTTTTATTTTTTCTAAATAAATTAATAATTTTTTTTTATTAAATCTTATTAGTTGAACAATTTAGAGTTTATTTATGTTTGTTAGTTGTTGTTTTTTTTCAATTTTTTCTTGTATAGTCTCTTAGTAGTTAGTATGGAAAGTCAAGCAACTGATTATTACATTAAATAGTTGGTAAGTATTATCAATACTTTAAAATATTTTATCTTTATTACTTCTAATTTATATTTCATTTTTATGTAAATTTGAATGTTTGAAGCAAATGAATTATTGATATGAATTATCGAAATTTTATTAGTAATATTTACTTTTTCGTATTTGTATTTGACAACTTATTATTTATATGTTATTAAATTAGATTACGTTAATTTGTAAAAGTTAAGATTGAACTTGGTATTTATATCTACTTTTTGTTATTAATATTAATATCTACTTTCAGGTGTATTTATATAGTATTATTTTAAATGTTAAAAAATTTAATTATAGTACGAAACCGAATGGAACCGAACCGAACCCGAACGGTTCCAAAATTATATTTGGAATCGACGGTTCCATTTACTAAATACCTGAAAATCTCTGGAACCGAATCGAACCGAACCGACCCGCGCCCCGCCCCTACATAAAAATCCATGAAATTAAGAAAGATAATAGATAAATAATTAACAAAAAATATGTAGCCACACATATTTTCCCAAAAATCTACCATTTCGACTTTTCTGAGCTCTTGTTTGGCCTCCATTTTTTCAAACTTTTTTTTTTTAAACTTATTTTCAACCATGGGACCCACGAGTTTTATTAACTTTCTAATTACACATTTCACAAACTTTTTTATCAAAATTTATTAAAAATCTAATTTTTATACAAACTTAGCAGAGGCTTAATTTCAAAACTCCAAGAACCCAGCACTTGATTTTTAGGGACGTTCATAGTGATGGTATGTGAAGTGTGAATAGGATTGTGAACCTATGTGCATGCTACAGCTTTCACCAATATCAACCATTGTCATAGAATCAATCAATCTCATAAATTACTAGCCCCTTTTGAAATTAAGATTACTAAACATGCAATCAGATAAGACTTTGAACCTATTTGCATACTACCACTTCACAAATATCAACATTTTGTCTCGATCAATATTGTGACGTGCTTGTTCATTCGAACACTAGTCTCAACTTTTTCAAAACTGTATTATTATCTTTACACAATAAAATAAAACTTCTTAATAACATTGAAACTTTCAATTGAAGATTGACAAGTAGCACACGATATTCAAACCAATTTTTGCCATGTAACGAAATGCATTTCTCACCGTGGTGAGACACACGGGCGAAATATTCTAGAAATGCATTGTTTGTGTCGTAGATGTCCTATCCATACAGGCATGTCCACAAAGGATGTACATATCCAACATTGATGTTTTCAATTTGTAGTGCTTCTATCTTAAGTAGTCTCATTGTATCTTGAGCAAGGATTGCTTGTTCTTGAAAGTTCTTCCAAAGGATTTATAATGAATCATAAGAATACAATTTATGATTCACATGTTTAGTAAGAAAGAATAATCACATTGAAGTCATAGATTTCCCTAGTAAGTTTATAGGTCAATAAAGGATTTTTACATTCGAAACCCATTGAAAGAGACAATGCAAGGGAAAATAGTTAGGAATTATGTTGAATTGACAATTCTGTAGAAAAATGATTATTATAAAATAGTTGTAAAAGTCAAGGAACTTTTTGGGGGGTTATATAGATGAATTATGAGTCTTTGGATTAAAGCGTGGAACAAGGAGAAAGAGTCGTCGGATTTACGCTAGATTGTCGCCTAGTTGATGCTCTAGCAGGAAAAATAGAATCACTATCGTCTGCCGTCGCCCGACTCTTACTCGTCTGCCTGTCGCTAGTGCTCGAGTGATGGTGTTTTTTTAGAAACCCTAGTTGCATTTTTCAATGGTTCTATTCATCATATACTATCCGAATACCTCCTATTATATTACATTCCCATAAGATCATTCCATGATTCAAAAATATATCCAAACAATGAGTTGAACCTTTGATTCTTGGGATCAACAACCACAAGTTATGAAAATATCAAATTCAGATAATCCAAAACGTCAACTTCCTAAATATTATTAGGAAGGTACTATCTCAATGGTTTTCAAATGTTGCTAAAGTTTGAGAGAGGATAGACCAGAAATATAAAAAGAGTACAAGAACAATGTATTCTTTGCGATCTACATGAGATCGACAATTTCAAAAATTCGGGAGCAGGTGTGAGTGAAACACGTTCCAACAGGTCTTGAAGATTGCATGAATTAAATTGGCGAGTCTAGAGGATTTTTTAGGCTGCATTATATTGTAAGTTCTTATTGTCTATAGTGAAAGTTACTCGCTTGGTCGCGAATTTTTTTACCCAATTAAGGTTTTTATCTGTCATCAATTTTTTGTGTTGTTTACATTATTGATTTCTACAAGCCGTCAATTCACCATAGGGTAGTTAATTCACGTGAACTAAATCTAGAGTAATTAATTATTGTGACTTGTTGCAATATTAATCAACGATAATTTTTAATTCTCATTCACCTGTTCACCCTCCATTTATGTGATTTCATGGTCAAACGAGTAACTTTTAAAAATCATGATCATATTTACATTCTAGTCTCTTAGAAAAAGCAGGCAAACGATCGAACCAAACATGCCCAAGTAATTTGACTATCTTACCCTTCATTGATGCACAGACGGGAGATGCATCGTATCAATCTTTTTCATGGACATAATCATAATTTATCGAATTATTAAATGGATACGCAGGCTGCACTATGTCGACATTTTCATGATTTTTGGAAGTTTAAGAATGTTGAAAGCACAAAGTAATTACTGTTGATTAATAATTCTGATTATATTTTTCTAAATTACTTTTACTTTCATCTTTTATAATATTATTTGTCATCCTGCCCCTGCTTTGGTGAGTCTTTTCGCACATCGAGTGGGCAACCCTTACTTTTTAGGAGAAATCAATTTGTACAGAAAAAATTCACAGAAATGCAACAGAATAGAGACAAACTGAGTCCCATCGTGTATTTAAAAAGAAAAAAAAATGTTCGTGCCCCACCCATGTGTGAGTGTTCTGTAGCAATTCGGTGGATTTTTCAAATATCTTCATGTCAAATAAGAAATTTCCACTTTAAAAAATTGAAATTGAAAAGGTAATCATTCAACGAATATTATTTGAGGGAGGGGCCGGAGGGCCAAAGATGTGTCACGCGTGAAAATTTCAATCAGGTGCGGGCCAAATTATGTGGGCAACTGCTTTTATAGGTTAAATTTATCTAATAGATTATTTTATAGGTTAAGAACTTGTTTGGAAGAAATTGTTTCAAATGAAAAATAATTTTTTTGAAGAACGTATTATTAAAAAAGTAAAAAAAATAATAATTATGAATTTCTTAACAGGCATGATTAAAAATAATTTTTAAAATTCTCTCTCAATAAACTCTAAATGAAGCTAGAAATTCTTTTAAATCGCGAAACAGAGCCGGTCACGCCAATAGTAGGCCCCCTATGGAGGGTAATGCTACTACTATCCATTAGGACCATTACAGAATTTACAGGAAAATGCATTATTGGTCCCTATTCTATTTATCTTAATGATAAATTGATCTCTAATCTTTCAATAGCAGTACATTAGTCCTTATATTTATTATAGTCACATAATCGACCCATGACAACAATCTATTTAAGCCTCTATTTGACAAAAATTATAAATAATCAATTTTTATTTTTAACCACACATTTCAATGAATTCACATGTATTATGTACTTATTCATCACTTGTTTAGTTGTTTTCTATCTATTTGTAAGCTAATTTATTTATAAATAATTACCAAGTCGAAGCTAAGTTTTCCCATTGTCCTCATCAAAAGTATGGCCCACTTAAATTTTTAACCCAAATCGAAAAAGAAAATTCAGCTTCATGAAGTTAAGTATGAGAGGGACACTTAGGCCTGTTCGAGCCCCGTTATTTTTCAAAAATGCATTTTAGAATAGTGATTTGATAAAAAATATGTGGTTAAAAAATAAGTAAAAGTTTTGAATTTACGTATAATGTTATTTTATTGAAAAATGTGTAGCTAAAAATAAGATAGAAAAATGAGGATCAAACAATTGCTTGATGACTAAGATTCTGTTTGAGTTTGAGTCCCATTTTTTTGTCCAAAATGTATTTTGAAATAATATTTTGACAGAGAATGTGTAGTTAAAAAATAAATAAAATTTTTTAGGTTACGTATAATATAATTTTATTGAAAAACGTGTAATTGAAAATAAGAGAAAAAATGTATTTTGAAAATAACGGAGATCAAACAAGGGTTTAGAGTGTGTTTGGTAGAGATTAAAATCGAATTAAAATTGAAAAACTAGTCGTTATTGTTGACTTTTATTAGATGAGTGGGACCCAATAACGGATATATTTTCAATTTTAATTGGATTTTGAGCCGTACCAAACAGTCCCTTAATGAGATTTGGAGAGTTTTCATAATTCAGTATTGGTTGAAATTATATTTAATGATTGAAATTAACTTGTTATTTTGAAAAGGTTTAAGACCAAATCACTATTTGACAAATAAGTTGGGACCAATAGTGAAATTTTTCCCAACATTTTCTTCTACTCTCCAATCTTCGGTGGCATTACTGATAATTACCCAACTTCCATGCCCTCTTTCTAAACAAATTCTAATTTCAACAATTTTTCCTTAAATTTACAATTAACCAAAGCCGGATTAAAATTAAAATTTAAATTTAAATTAAAGTCAACAATTAATTATAATCACATATTTCATCATTTTTTATCGAAATTTACTAAAATTCTGATTTTACTCCCCAACAAACAGGGCTTATTCTTTTTTTGGGACAAAAAAAAAAAGCAATTTCCCTTAAGATACGCAAATGATTTCTCCCCTTTTTTAACGCCATGAGGTTTCAATAAAGTTGTAGAACAAAATCTTGCGTANTCAATAAAGTAGTAGAACAAAATCTTGCGTATATACAAACAATCTTGAAATGACAGTTATGCCCTCCTAGTGCTCATTATTTTTGTACCCGTTCGCTTGCACGTTTCCTCTCGGTCCAAATTCTTGTGCCTGATTTGACTTTCTTTACTCCTGCAGTTACACTTTTATTTTCAGAAATTCGATTTGACTAAAATACCCTTGTAGGTTTTAACACATCATATTTACGTCACCTCGTTTTATAATGGACAAAAATCTTCAAAGATTTTTAATAAGTTAGTTAAATACTAGTTTATAGACTTCATCAAAAATTGATTGAATTCCACATATATGAATGAGATTTTTTAATGGTAGAATAATATTTTTTTTTGAAAAATATCTTCTATATATTAAAAGTTGCTATGTAATTGAATTTCTTGTTTTTAATGGAAAAACTAACGGAATTTGTTATTTTAACGGACTATGTAACAGAATTTCTTGTTTTAAACAGGCAGCTGCACCTTCCTTCAATGTTTTTATCATAACTTTGTATTCTGATATCCGATTGAGACGATTCAAAATGCGTTGGAAAGCTAACTCATCTAGCTACAAATAAACATTGCATCATTAATTATTTAATTAACCAAAAAATTTACATCTTTATTAATAACAAATTAATTCTTAAACAAAACTATTAAATATAAATTAGGCAAACGTGCTTTGCATGTTGCTTGCACCTAGTATTATTAAAACAGGCGATTTTTTTTGGGATTTCATGTAATATTATTTTATTAAAAAATGTGTAGTTGTTAAAAAGATATAAAAAAATAATAAATTTTAATTTTAATGATGTCAAACAGTATTTTAGCTTTGTTAGGCACTTGTTTGAACTCTATTTTAATGAGATTTTGGAAAAAAATATATTTTAAAATAATAATTTTTTGAAGAATAGATGGTTAAAAAAGAAGAGAATTTTGAATTTACGTGTAAACATTAGTTAGATCCCAATCTAGAGAGTAGATATTATTTTAGTTTTCGATTATTGTACGAATACCAAATTAATCTCCAATTTTCAAAGCGAGATAAGTCAATTTTCAACTTTTCTATTAACATTGCACGATTTGTTAAGCCCCTGTTTGATTCCAATTTTTGGGATAAAATGTGTTATGAAATAGTGATTTTTTTGGAGAATGTATGACTAACAAATAATGAATTTTTTTTTTGAAATACGTATATAATTATTTTATGAGAAAATATGTGGTTGAAATGAGTTTTGAAAAAATGCAATTTTAAAAACTGGAACTCAAATACAGACTAAATCTACGTGATATTTATCGTGTGAAATAAAATTGTCTCACTTTAGATTTTTAAGCAAAAAGATACGACTATTCAAAGTCAGATATGCGAAGGTTACTTGACAATTTAGCAAAAATTTTAATGCCTTTTGGGACCGATCTTAGGGCTACAACAATAAATTGAAGATGGATAGCAATTTCATTTTCTCCGAATACAAGGGTAAATTAGTAAAATCAAACGACTCTCATGCTAAATAGTCTTTCTACTTTCCAAACTCCCTCCATATTTCTTTAACGTAACATTAAAACCCCACAATCCAATTTCCTTTCTCTTCACACACATTTAACATTTATGGAGTTCGTTCAAAATCTCATGCTCTTCTCCTTCCTCGTACTCTCTCTCTCCCCGCCACTTTCTCACTGCTCATCCATTCATGACCTCCTCCAGTCCAGAGGCTTGCCGGCCGGCCTCCTCCCGAAGGAGGTCGAATCCTACACACTGTCTGAATCTGGGCTACTTGAAGTGTTTCTGGATGGTCCGTGTATAACCAAGTTTGATACGATGGCGTTTTATGACAGTGTTGTTCGGGCGAATTTAACGTACGGTAGTCTCACCGGAGTCGAGGGATTCTCGCAGGAAGAGCTCTTTCTGTGGCTTCCGGTTAAGGATATTGTAGTTGATGATCCGAAGTCGGGGCTAATTCTGTTTGATATTGGTGTTGCTCATAAACAGCTTTCGCTGTCTCTGTTTGAAGATCCACCAGATTGTAATGCAAAAAGTAAGTGGGTTTTGCTTCTACTTGTTTTGATCTTAAAGTTCTCTCAGTTCGTAATGAAAATTTGTTTTTGTCTGAAACTAATTTGTACGGCTTATAACCTTGCTTTAATCGCACTGATTTTGTTTGTTTATGAAAGAGAAATTACAATTCATACTGTTCAGTCACATCTAGTGGGTATTTGGTGCGGATTAAAATTTGATTTTTTGTATATTCTAATAGAAGTTTTGGAAATACGTGGTTGAAAAGTTGTGGGACCCATAAAAGATTTTTTTGTATATTCTAAACATAGGCATGGTATTTTCTTAATTTCTAACGGCTCGGGTTTGTTTTTTAAAAACTTTTGAAATGTCAAAATTGTTTTTAGAAATGTTTGCAGAATTTGTTTGATTGGCATGAAAATATTTTTTTTATTTTTAGGAAAACAAAAACCTACCTAAAATACAAAAAAAATTAGAAATAGGAATCAAACACATCAAACTAGAAATTTAAATAAAAAAATTAACATTTTTCTTGGAAAATAAGTACAATCAATTACACTCTTAAAGAAAGTTGACTTATCAAAAGTTTTGGCAAACGAACCCTTATGCTCGTTTCAGTTAAAAACAGGAAAAAAAAATGTTGAGGTATTATATAATTTTTTTTTTAATTTTTTTGGAATTAATAATGCAGGTGTATCGAAGAAAAATGGCAGAGAAGAAAGAGGACATGCAGCTCAAAAATAAAGATGGAAATTCGATGCTAATCCTATTTTATTAACTTAGATTAGTAGTTTTCTAATTATATAGTGACTAATGTTAATCTTTTTAAGTTTAAATATATTATGCCTTTTATATTGGAGTATAACTTGCACATTAGGGTGTGTTTGAGCTACATTATTTTGGAAGAATGTATTCTGAAATAGTAATGTTATTCATCTCCAGTGGGGATGAAAACACAGTCTATATGGTTTTAAATGATAGGTGAAATTAAATAACTTATTTAATTTCACCTATCATTTAATGTCACATTGACGTCACGTAAACTGTGTTTTTATCCCAGTGATGATGAATAGCATTATTCATTTTGGAATAGTAGATTGATGGAGAATTTGTGATTGAAAAAGAAAGAAAAGTTATTGATGTGATGAAAAATATTATTTTATTGAAAAATGTGTGGTTGAAAATGAATAGAATGATGTAAATGAAAATTTTAATGTGTACCAAACAGGGGCTAAAGCATCTCTATCTTAAGTATAATTTTCTTTTTCAAAGGAATTTATGAAAATAATTTATCGGATTCCAATATTAATTTGAAATTATTGAAAATTAATTAAGGTGTCACATATTTAATAATTGAGGTATGCTGTAATGGGACCGCACGTGCCTTTCTTTCACCGACATATGTGGCTGATTGGACCGTCCACTGTCCTTTCTCAATGTTTTTATTGTTGACCATATATGGCAAACTCACGAGTCTCGAAATGAAAATATAATTGAATATTAGATATTATTATTATTCTTCATTAAAATATAATTTATTTTTTTGCTATCTTTTTTTATTAATCACACATTAAACATAAACCCAAATTTTTTTTCATTTTTTTAACAACACATTCTCTAAAATACATACATCTCGTTATAATATGGAATAATGGGGTCAGACGTGCGTTAAAATTATATGAAATTAAGCTCATGTTTGAGCTCCATTATTTCTCATTATAAGTAAGTTTTTGAAGAATGTGTGACTAAAAAAGAACGGAATATTTTTAGATTTACGTATAATATTATTTTATTGGAGAACCAAATAAATTCGAAAATAATTAAAATTTGTTTATTTTAGACTATATTATTTTTTCTTTAGATTATTTCAAATGGGCTCGTATTGAGGCTCCGTTTGAGAGCCATTCTTTATTCAAATAATATATTTTTTCTTTCACATCAAGTGGGGTCCATTGCTGGAAAGAGACACAAAAAAAGTGTGATTTGACACAAAGAATGCTTTATTTTCTAGAATAATGGTTACCAAACGGTGCCTANTATAGAAAAATGGTTACCAAACGGAGCTGAATGTATAATCCTTGATTCGATTATTTCATCGTAGACCATAATATTCAAGATGCTCACTGGTCTAACATTTGTCCCCAGAGAAAGAACAATTGTTATTTAGCACATCGAAACATATCACAGTGCGATTCGCTCCACCAAAATAATTTAACATTTGCCTATCGACAAATTTTCTTGTAAAAACTATCTAGGTTGGTTAATCCCAAAAAATTATTTACAATTTTTTTTTGACACGAATACTATGCACAAATGCAAAGTTATTTAACGAATTACGGACATGAGGAAATGAATGAATCCCAAAAAATTGTAAAAAAACAAAATACTTCATAATTTTAAACTTATTTATATATTATTTTTCAAAAAAAATTCCTTATATAGGTATTGAAAAAAATTGAGGTCTTCAAGTAATTTCAAAATTTGAAAATTTGTCTAAATTCAACAAAAAGTAATTGAATTCAACTTTTATTGTGCCGAAGTCCAAATCGACCAAAGGTTGGATTTATTTTAGATCAAACCGACTATGCTGGGTTGGAAAAAAACCCTCCCCTTCCCTACGCTACCCTAAGTACATATTAGAGTATATTTGATGCACATTTTTTAGGAGATAATGCATTTTTTTATATGATAGTAAATATGCGGTTGAAAAAGAGAGAAAAGTTATTGTTGTAATGGAAAATATTTTTTTATTGAAAAATGTGTTGTTGAAAATTAGTAGAATAATGAGAATAAAAATGAGAATGTGTTTCAAACAGAGTCTTACATTCAAAACATACATTAGTTTCTTTCTATTTCTCCCTCTTTAAACATAACAACGATTTGATCGTTAATTTTTGTGTAGATACTGAAGTTTGTTGCGAAGATTTTTCAGAAGATAGTGGAATTTTTTTCCTTTCATTTGGTGGAAAAAATTATGAATCAAGCATATCTCACCACATCATGTGTATATAAACTATTATAAAAATCATTATGCACATGTCAAATTGTTTATAGTCAAAATATCTAAATAATAAAGTGGAATTTTAACTAATTATGTTTGGATTAATTCCATAAGTATTTGTAGGACACCACATACAAATAAAAAAATCCATAAAATTATATTACCAACTAAATAAGCTATTTTTAATGGTAATTATTACAAAACGTCCCTACCTTTTATTTTTAACATTTTCACCCTTAAACATTTGCTTGCCAAAAAGGTCATTCCATCCACTTACAATTTAAAAAAAAAAAAAAAAAGCCGATTTCCTTTTAAAAAATGAAGGGTAATATAGTCTTTAAAGAAATTCCACAAAAAAAGTTATTTCATAAGTAACGGTAACGTTAATACGAAACGACATTATTATATTTCACAACAATGGTTGCTGTAATGGTGGATTATTGATAAAAATTGGAGTGGTAGATGAATATATTGAATATGTGATCGATGAACTGGAGGTGTGTAGCTAAGGAGTAAATTGAGAAGAACAATTGCACTTTGATGCTATAAATTACCTATCAATTTTCAATGGTGAGTAGTCCATCAAAATTCAATGTTGAAAATGAACTGGATATGTTTTGCATGCAACATCCATACCTTTCAAAATATTTTGCGAAAAACATAAGATCTTTCAAACTATTTGGCGTAAAACATCCTACCTTCGTAACTCATTGTGAAAACGGTCCCTACTGTAATTTGAGTGCAGCATATTAGGTCCCTGTTTTCTTTTGTATGCAACTTGTAAACAATACGCGACAACTCAAAATAGAGGAATTATGTTGCCAATGAAATATGATATATGTAAAACAAAAATAAATACCAAACTCATCAAAAATCCTCCATCTCTCAAAGCACCAAAATATGAAAAGGAAAACCAAAATATACCCAAAAGAAAAAAAAAATTACCTTTCGTAACCTTCACTGTGTTCTTCCATTGTGCTGCGAGGAGATGAGATGAGACGAGATGAGACAAGAAGGGAGGGATGCACAAAAAAATGGAAGAAATGGAAAATTTTGAAGTGGAAATATCAAGGTGGCCCGCGTAAGAGAAGATATCATGGGGAAAAAAGGGACTTTTTAAAAAGTCAATTGACATTTTTTAATCATTTAACGGGGATATTGACATCAAGCGGGTGTAATTACCTTTTTGGCAAGTAAATGTGAAAATAAAGGTAAAAAAAAAAAAAAATGAAAGTACAGTGAATGTTTTTTACTTTATCCTTTTTTAAAAGGTGGAATCGTTTTGTACTAATTACCATTTTTTAAAGTGTTATTTTATTACCAAATTAATTTCCCATTTCTTTCTTTGTATTTCTTTAATTATTGATGATGAAATAATAAAGAAATGACATTTAGACTTCCTTAACGGAGCAAGATGACTTCTGCTATTCCGATGAATAATGAAACACATGCAAGAATTCGTGAGAATTAGTAATTGAGTTTTTATGAAAATGACTTGTGAAAAAGAAGACCCCCATACTAGCACGCCTTTAGAGTATTTATAGTTATCTACGTGTCTGGTTCTCACTCATGTACCGACTGAGTGGTCAAATTTTACCCACTAGACGGGTTGATGAAGGTTATCAATCAATTCAGGTTAGGAGTTATGGTAGTCGATCTGCGATAGGCAGTTAGGCTAGCATAGCGGTAGGCAGTCGAGCTAGTATAGCGGCAGTCGAGCTAGTATAACAGTCGTTGGTCTACCATAACTGTAGTCAAGTTAACACAATGGTAGTCGGTTTACTATTGTGACAGTCAGGCTAGGCTAGTCGGTCTATCATAGTAACTTGTTGTCGGACTAATATTGCGGGAGTCGGATTATTGTATTAAATTAAAATTATTAAACTGTCTACTTTAAATATTTTTTAATTATTATTATTTTTATTAAGATCGCGTCTATTATAAATCATAAATTTTTATTTTTATTTTAAATTTTGCTTTTAATAATTGACCGTCTCATAGTTAAATAAATACAGACAATTGCATAAAGTTTTTAGATGTTTACTTTCTTATTTTGTGTGTTTATTGTAATTTAGTTATTTTTTGGTTCTCCCGTTCATCTCTTTGAAGCCACCACAATTTAACATGTAAGGAAAAATGAACGTAGAAATTCAAGTTACTTTTACAATCTGATGAATACATACTGCTTTTCAATTATAAACTAGGAGATCAACGATCAAGTTTAAGAAGTCACCTGCTTTTTACTTGAAGCTTCGACCTCTAATAAGTTCGTTATACAACCACGGCACTGGCCTAGTTAAGAGAGTGTTATAATCGTTGTCTAGCTAACCTAGAAGTGCAAACATGGCCATGTTAGAGTGCAAGTTAGTGAGTTGAATTCTATGTGACGATTGTAGGTTCGTATTTGATCTTGATTTTGAGCTCACGTTATACGTCTTTTTTAAGCTCGAAGGGCCCAAAAATGGCCATGTTCGATCAAGTCAAAAAATCATGTTTATCGAAAGTTTAAAGTTTGCATAGTATTTAGAATAATTTTCCTTAAAGAAAATATCATAATTGATGATGTGTTTGATAGATATTATTGAGAAAAGAATGTATTTTATGCCCCCGTTTAATCTACATTATTATCTTATTAAATGAAAAATATGACCGTTATCCATCACATCAACATTTAGCCCCTGTTTGACACATATTATTTTTTTCATTCTCATTCTTCTACTCATTTTCAACCATATATTCTTCA